AATCTAAAATCCCCGAAGATTGTCCATCCTTCATGCTCACCTGCACTGTCGTGCTCATCCCTACACTGTTGCTGTTGGGACTCGATACGTGAATAATATGGCTGGGGTAGGATGGCCTCAGAATCATCATCTCTCTCATTTTCTCTTTGAATAATATGGATTAAAAAAAAAAAAACAAATTTTCAAAAAAATCGATCATGGATTAAAAAAAAAAATCACAAATTTTCAAAAAATTCTATCATGGATTACAAAAAAAAATTTGATCATGGATTTAAAAAAAAAATCACAAATTTTCCAAATATTCTATCATGGATAACAAAAAAAAAATCACAAATTTTCAAAAAATTCAATCATGGATTACAAAAAATTCGATCATGGATTACATAAAATTCGATCATGGATTACATAAAATTCGATCATGGATTACAAAAAAAAACAAACAAAAAAAAACAAAAAATTCAATCGTGGATTACAAAAAAAGAAAAAAACAATTCGATCATGGATTACAAAAAATTCAATCATGGGTTACAAAAAAAGCAAAAAACAAAAAATTCAATCATGGATTACAAAAAAAAAACAAACATTTCGATCATGTATTACAAAACATTCGATCATGGATTACAAAAAATTCTATCATGGGTTACAAAAAAAAAAAAACAAAACATTCGATCATGGATTACAAGAAAAAAAACAAACATTTCGATCATGGATTACAAAAAAATTCTATCATGGGTTACAAAAAAACAAAAAATTCGATCATGGATTACAAAAAAACAAAAACAATTCGATCATGGATTACAAAAAAATCGATCAAGTATTACAAAAAAATCTATCATGGATTACAAAAAAAAAAAAATTCCATACGGGACTCGCCGATTCCGTACAGTGAATCGGTGAGTCACTATACAGAATCGTCCTGTTCTCTCTAGAACCGGACGATTTCTGATTTTTAGCCGATACGATCCACTTTTTACGATTTCCGAGTCGAACCGGGCGAGTCTGGTTCGACTCGGCGTTTTTTAAAACACTGGTTGTAAGTAATTTTGACCTCCCTGTATCAAAGGTAAATGGTCTCATTGTATACAATCCCTTTACAAATATATTGCTTTAACTTTTATTACAAGGGGAGTACTTGAAACTAAGTGGACCAACTTGGAACCTAAGGTGGTTCAACCTAGTCCAATCCTAAAAAACTAGGGTGTGGGTCACAAAATATGGATTGAGGGCCAAGCCGGTCGTACTAGACCCTCTCCAAGTGTTTGCCCTTTAGTTATTCTTTTCTTTTTTTTAAAGAATCTATTAGGCTCGGTCACAGTGAATTGGGCGATCCAAATAATTGGAGAAAGGCTCTGATGATGATATTTCTCGACCAGTGTAAGAACACTAGTGTAAATTCTTGTGCGCGCTACATTTGGAAATCCCTCTTGAGAAGAAAATGCAACCTGGCTATTGATTAAAGTTTGTGGTTTGTATAGGGCCTAGGCCCTAAACAATCAAAGTAAGGCGCGCCTACAAATAATGTCAAAAGATGTTGATTCAGTACTAGAAATCTTTATGATGGCCTGAAATTTTGTTTTATCTCTAGTTATAAAATTTAAAGCTTAAAAAATAGTGTATATCGATCAGATCTATAAACATTTGAAAATCTTGAAAATTGAAGGTTCATAAAAAATATTACAAGATGCAATAATTTCAAGACTTGAAATTCATTTTTCTTTTGTCCATACATCTTAAGGTCGAGATGATTGATTTGAAGAAGGAAGAGCATCCCTAAAGACAAATTAGACATAAAGTACCTCGTGGGTATGTATAAATGGTTTCCCTTTATAAGAAGGAGGCTAAAAATAGCCGTATCAATGTATGATCTATGTGAAATAATTTTTGAAGTATTGAATATGGGATTTTCTATAAATAGACCATTTATCTTTATTACAAGGAGGTCACAACTATTCTCACTCATCAGATGTCAAATTAGATGGCTTCGAATGAGTCATGAAGTCCAAGAGTATTTTTTGAAACTTTGTATCAATTCAATGACACTCTTACAACCACATATTTTGAAATCTAAAGGACAAGAATGATTGTGACCTCATTGTAAAAAAAGTAAATTGTCTCTTTGTAGACATCCCATTGTATAATATATGACTGTGTTGAATAAACTTCATAACATAGAAGGGACACCGCAAAAACCATCGAAAGAAGTCATTTGGACCCTAGAAAGCCCTCCAATCAACCATCTAGACCTTGAGATGTACGAGCAAGAAAAATAAAGACTCTAGTCTTTAAAATATTACATTTTTTGACATATTCTATAGAACAATATTATCAAATTCGCTTTGCTTCAGCTGAAGAGGCTAAAACCTTCGGATTTTAGGCATAAACCGAAGTAAAGAGAAGCTTGGTGCTGCACTTCGATCAGATTCGGACCACTTTGGGTTGCTTCGGTCATATTTGGGTCTGCTTTGGCCGAAGCTTTGGGTTCCTTTAGTCAAAAAAGAAATACCTATATGAAAGTACTTTGTAGATTTTTTTTAATTTTTTTTTGTTTTTAAATTTTTTCCATTATTTTAATACATTATATATAAATATCTAATTTCTTTAAATTAAATTTCAAAAAAAGGGTTCAAAGTCTTCCTCTGAACCGACTTAAGCATCGAATTGCTTCATTTTTCTCACCAAATTGAAAAACACCGAAACGAATCTTACAGCATTGCCATAGACTATCCATTTCAAAACATCTTATAACATATTTTATAGATTGTCCACTTCAAAATTTTCAAATACATATAGATCTCCTCGATCTACATGAAATTTCATGATTAGGTCTACAAATCGGATAGTTGAAAATATATATTAACATTTGGAGCATTAAATTTCATGACAACCATCCGATCAAAATCTGACGTCATTTTAGGTGACTACTTATATTGTCATTATCGTTATCCATAGATCGAGATGTTTTTTTGGAGACTTGGGGATGCACGTAAAAGATGAATGTGCCAAGTTCATATTGACCACAAATTAAGGAAAAGTGGGTATTTTGTGCCGTGCTTTTCTCTTTGCCTGTGGAAAATAACACAAAATGGGTCCCAGATAAAAATAAGTGCTCTCGTGGAGTGAAAATTTTATTTGGGAGATTTTTTCAGATATGGAGTTTTGAGATCCATGTTAGAATGACCACATTATTATTTCAACAATAAATAAAAAAAAGATGAATGTGCCAAGTTCATATTGACCACAAATTAAGGAAAAGTGGGTATTTTTGTGCCGTGCTTTTTCTCTTTGCCTGTGGAAAATAACACAAAATGGGTCCAGATAAAAATAAGTGCTCTCGTGGAGTGAAAATTTTATTTGGGAGATTTTTTCGGATATGGAGTTTTGAGATCCATGTTAGAATGACCACATTATTATTTCAACAATAAATAAAAAAAAGATTTTGAGTTTTTTAACACTTAGATCATGCCCTCTAAAAACTGGACGCACTTGTTAAATCTTAAGACCTGGGATTTCATTTTTCAGGTCTTTTCTTTTTTTATTTTTTATTTTTCTCTTTCAGTTAGTTACTTGTTCAATCTAAAAAGATTTTTTATTTGTTATATCCCCAAAATTTTGGATCTTTGCCCGAGGAAGCAAGTGGACGGTGTGCTCTTCGTGGACTAAGAAATCATTTCAATTTCCCATCCAAAATAGTAATATCATCCCAAGTATTTTTTTTTGTTTTTGTGAATGAATAAGCGAAGGGTGGGGTCGTAGTTATAGTAACCCTATACTTAGTTATCACGTTGTGGTTTTCAATCCTACCGACAATTTCAAAAAAGCTAATTCCTTAATAAAAAAGGGATAAGGGTCTATCCTCTCTATTGAATTATCCAAAAACAAAAAGTTGGGAAAGAATTACAAAAAATAGGCAACCTTCCTTTGCTCGGTTTAATCTATATAGACATCTCCCTGACCGATTAATCCCTAGCCTGGCCCTTCTTTTTTAATATGAAAAAAGTTTATATGAGGTTGACACTTTATATCATAGAATTAAGGTGCACTTAAAAATAAAAAAATAAAAAAGCTTATTTTAAGGTTGTAAAGCCATCTAATTAATAATCTCAACATCAACATGGATGGATATGAAAACAAATATTTTAAGTCCCAAAAATAGTACATATTACAACACGTTATCTGTACCATCTATTTTCAAGATTTTTATGCATTTATAGATCTGCTTGATTTGAACCAATTTTAAAGTTTAAAATTTATAGTTATAAAAAATAGATTTTTAAACCATCTTAAAAATTTTCTATACCAAAATTACACCTTATGACAAAGTCTAGAGACACGCCTTACTTTGAACGTTTAAAGTTGCGTTACTCCAAGAAAAACTGTCCCATTGTTTTGTTTTGTTAAAACAAATAATTTTCATAGTAAAACTAAAAGCAGCCGAAAACGTCAAGGGGTTGCCTCATCTCCTGACGTATGCACGCTAGAATTTTCAAGAATTTTATTCTTGAAATGTGATTTTTGTGGTCCAAGAGTCCTATAAATACCTGCACTGGTTTGGGCTCAAGCCATCACCAAAACTCACAAAACCACAATTGAAAGATGGCCATGAACAAGCAATCCTGGTCCCTTACCTTGCTCGTAGTGCTGTGCACCATGGGGATGGTGCATCTGTGCCATGCCCAGAACTCTCCCCAGGATTATCTCAACCCGCATAACGCCGCACGGACACGACTTAACGTTGGACCCTTGACATGGGACGACAACGTCGCCGCCTTTGCGCAGAACTATGCGAACCAGAGGGCTAGAGATTGCAATCTCATACACTCTGGGGGGCCTTACGGTGAGAACCTATTCGGGGGTTCGGGTGCTGATTTCTCAGCAGCAGACGCAGTGAACGCATGGGTCAATGAGAAGGCAGACTATGACTACAACTCCAACACTTGTGCAGCCGGCAAGCAGTGCGGCCACTACACACAAGTCGTGTGGCGCAACTCGGTGCGGTTGGGTTGTGCCAAGGTCAGGTGCAACAATGGAGGCATCTTCATAACCTGCAACTACAACCCTCCCGGCAACTTCATCGGGCAGAAACCCTATTGATATATCATTAGCTTTCGGTCGGAAATAAAGCTTTTGAGCCGGTATCCGTGCTCTAAGTTGTCCATTAGGGTTCGACTTAGTGGTAGACTTGGATCCTTGAAGTTAGTATAGACCATGCTCACCTATTGTCTTTCATGCTTGTAGTATAAGTTGGAGTGACGATGCCATATAATAAAAGGGCAACCTTTTTATATTTCTCATGCTAAATGAAATATGAGTAAAGATCCTATAGGACTCTCTCTCATCCATGTGTAGGACTCAAAGGATCATCATTAAAGTTAACATAGATCTTTAGAAAAATTACCACATGGGTGTGGGACTTGACTTTTCTAAAGATCCGTGCCAAATTTAATGGTGATCCTTTGGGGTCCTAAACACATGGGTGAGGGAGAGTCCTATAGGATAATTTCTCATAAAACATATATAGTTCCCCTATCCAATTGTTTATTCTGAATGAACGGCTGAGATAATCTCAACCACAATGTCATGCCTCTACATTATTTCATTTTTAATATTTTTTTATAAAATATTTTGACACCAAATTTTGAGCGTACAATTCTCCATAAAAAAAAAAGAAAAACAATATTTCCAATAAACTAATATTATCAAAATGTCCCTGAAATGTTTCAGGGGTATTTTGGTCACTATATTTTATCAAAATTACTTTTTAAATATTTTTGTTAGGTGTGCGCCATTGAGATGATGGCCCGTACCAAATTTATATTCATATAATTTGTAGAAAAAATTAAAAATAAAATACTCTGACGCACCATATCTATATCAAACGGTCAGTAGCTCACTTGATCTAAATTGGAAGGCTGAATAGAGGTAAGTAGATATATTCTATATAGATGAAGTATAAAAACCTTTCCCATGATAAAATATAATAATGAGATATTAGTATCTAAGTTTGAATTTTATTCAAGCGCATTTGATAAAGGGTGTGGTTTCTATAAGGTTGCAACCTTGAACAATCCAATTAAGGCGCACCTTAAAATTTTATTTATAACATGTAATTTTGTTGTAAAAAATACTTACTATTATCTTAAAATCTATTTTCGTATCTAATTAGAAATTTTAAATTCCAAAAATTGTTAAAATCAAGTAGATCTATAAATATATGAAAATCTTGAAAATGGACGGTCTAGATAATGTGTTGTAAGATGCACTGTTTTCGATACTCAAAAACCTTTTTTCCTCATATTCATGTATCTTGCTGTCGAGATGATCAACTAGAAGGATTTTTCAACATTAAAACAATATTTTTGATAGATTTTTGAGGTGCATCAGTGATTCTACATTTTAAGGTTGCAACCTTATATAAACTTTTCCCCTTGATAAAGGCATAAAGCTAATATAAATAACAGGCCACGATATGCAGTGAATACGCATTCATGGGTTAGACTTTTACAAGGTCATATAAATAAGGACCGGATTTCTTTTAAGATGGATTTTAGATATTTATGTTTTAGAAACATATTTCGATAGGAGCCTTATCAAGAGTAAAGCCTCACATCAAAATTCACTGAAAATTGCAGCTTTGATATTGGAAAACCTTAGCCCATTATAGTTGTTAAAAAAAAAAAAAAAATTCAAGCCTCAAAAATAATGTCAGCTTTGGCATAAAAAAACCTCCAAATCGATTGTCTTAGCCATGACCATTATAGTTGTGAAAAACAAAAACAAAAAAATTCAAGCCTAAAAATAGTGTATATTGTAACTCATTATTTAGACCGTCCAATTTTCCCTAAGAATAAGTGCACATATAGATAAGATCTACAACTTTTTTAGTTTAATTTCATAACGAGTGTTGGAAATTGATTTTAAAGCCATCATAGAGATTTCTAGCACCCAAAGTTCTTTCTGGATGAGGATTCAATGTGAGGCTTTATTTTGTTTTCATGAAGCCTAGGCCCTATAGAAACTTCATCGAGATTAGCCCACTAGCTCATATGAATATATGAGCCCAACGGTCCAGATTGAATCTAGGCCGATCTGACTGTCACGATCTCATTTTGTATTTTAATTTTAAATTTTTTTCAACAAATTCAATAACTTGAAATTTTTAGTGTCAATTCTTCTCATCAAGGCACACAGTAAAATATTTAAAAAATAATTCATAACAAATAAATTGATCAAAATACCCCCAAAATATTTCATGGGTATTTTGTTCAATTTATTTTTTACAAATTTTTTTTGATATTTTTAGTAGATTCTAATATTTTTGAAGAATACACACCTAAAATTTCAAGTTATTTGGATATGTAGAAAAAAATTAAAATTCAAACACAAAAAGAAGTCGTGACCGTCAGATTGGTCCAGATTCAATCTGAACCGTTGGGCTTATATGTTTATATAAATTTGTGGGCTGATCTTAACATTTTCTTCTATATATATATATATATATATATATATGAGTAATTTTTTGTCATCGTTCGTTTGGTCGTCCCCTTTTTTCAACGTCCATCTTAAATCTCTCTCTCTTTTTCTCTCTCTACATACACAACTCCAAATAATGTATGCATTGTAGGGATTCCTTTTGCCTTCTCGTCATTTAGATTTTTTTACGTGAATTATTGCAGTCATTTACTAAATCGCACTTAAGAGGAGAACTATTTAGTATCTCATCCTCCTAAGGGAACTTTATTAAATCAAACCTGAGAGTTGAACTATTTAATAACTTACCATGTGTTTTAATCTAATTTTCAATAGCCTTTCTTTTGATCAAATTTCAAATAGCCCAAGTCGGTACACAACTGTGATTTCAAATAACGTTCCATTTGAACTTAAGAACAAAAAATTAATAGTACACAGTAGTGATTTCTATATTTTCTAGAGAGTGAAACTCAAAGACTTGTAGGTGACTCACCGCGTTTATTGTATTCAAGGAGTGTGTAGTTTTTCCTTAGATTCCCACCTTAGTACTACACCCTTCAAAGAGAGCAAGTCCATCTACTGCTTTCAGATTCCTTGAAGAGTGCGGATCTGATAATTAAGGTTTAGGATTCTATATCATGAGATAATTAAGGTTTAGGATTCTATATATCATGAGACTACTATTTTTAATTGTTACGAGGAGGTTACAATCACTCTTAATCATTAAATGTTAAATTAGATGACTTGAGGTGCTTTACGAAATTCTTTTGAATCTTAAGTTTAATCAATAATACAATTATACTATTCATAGTCAATAATACACTTTATTGAACTAAAACCCCCGATTTAAAACCCAATGGATATGAGTGATTATGATCTCTTTGTACTAAAAAAAATGGTCTATTGTGTCATTTTCCTTGAAGTTTTAGTTCTAAAATTGGCATGTTCCTCGAAACATAAGAATTTTACAGTCTTTTGTTCATTTATAGTTGTCTCCGGCAGTTTTAGTTTAGTAAAGTGTCTTCGGCTCCTTGTGTTTGGTTCTCAAAATTGGGGTCCTTCGGTTTGACGGTCTGAATTGTTGGGAATCGAGATTACCTCGATCACCTCTTGTTGCGGTGAACCTCGCACTACAATAAATCTGATGCCTTAAAACCAACTTGTCTATTACCGACAAACTGATTTCAGAAAATCCACACTCGAGAATTGTATATAGTATCATAAATTTGGAACAATAAGATGAAATCAAGAGAAGATAAAAGAGAAAATCTAATGGCACAATCACATATCACAAACTGTAATGTAATCACCATCAAACACAAATATACGTAGTTATCCCAAAATTGGCATACATCTACGGGTAATCAGCAAGAAAATTATTAACTATCAATAAAAGAATTACAAGCTTTGACGTATATAGCGATTACCTTACAATGGTAGAGAAAAATTCAAAATGAACTTTCATACCACAACGATAGCATCAATCGACTCCTCTCTTCGTCTATCGTCGACCAACACCATCGTCACGAAGAAAGGCCGATGAAATTCAGCCTAATATAACTATAAAACTAGAGTTTATACAAAACCCCTAACCTCTTCTTTTCTACGAATCTTCTCTTTTCTCTCTTTACAAATAGCCCCCTCAGTATACCTTCTCTCTCTACAATTGACCGTCAAATGCTCCTTAAAATGACTTTTTCATTTGACCAAAATTGCCCTTGGCCATTAAGAGAATAATATGAGGTTAAATGGAAGGTGATTTTGCATCATTGTCCCAACATGAATGCCACTTAGGCACATCGAATTCGGCAGCCTACTTGGGGCTCTCTAGTAATTTTATTTCTAACTCCTACTCCGCTTAGTCTATTGTTATGCCCCTTTTTCTGAATGTCGTATGTTGTTTTTCTTGATTGACATTTTAATCTTGGAATAGCCCCAAACTCAACTCCAAGAGGCCAAAACTCATAGTATTTCTTCGAACGATCCATTAAAAAAAGGGTGCAGTTGGCATACGGATGCAACCGTAGCTGTAGACGTAAGGTACACCTTCAAATTTTATCATGGTATATAATTGTGATGTAAAATGTTCTTAGGATTATCTCAAAATCTGTTTTTATATCTAATTATAAAATTTTAAATTTCAAAAATGGTCAAAATCAAGTAGATTTATAAACACATGAAAATCTTAAAAATGGACGGTGTAGATAATATATTGTAAAATGCACTATTTCTGAGACTTAAAATCTTTTTGTTTTTCATGGTCATGCATCTCGATGTCGAGATGATCAATCAAAGGCAACATTAAAACTATATTTTTTGATGGATTTTTGAGAGGCATTTGTAGTTCCACATTATAAGGTTGCATCCTTATGTAAACTTTTTCCTTTTAAAAAATGTTGTTTTGTCGCTAGCAAACTTGTCAATTGATGATTTCAAACCAAAGAAGTCCGAATTTTTTTTTTTAAAAAAAAGAACTTTAAGTCTCAAAAAGAGTGCATCTTCCATCGCATTATTTGGAGAACCCATTTTTTATATTTTCAAGTGTGTATATCGGGATAATCTACAATTCATAACCTTTTAAAATACAAAGATTAATATTAAAATAATTGTTGAATGGTGGATTTACTAACGACATGGTTTTTTTAAAAAAAAAACGTTACATTTGTAGTATTTTGTTCGACAAGTAAGGGTATATATGTAAATATTACTAAAGGACAATTTGTCATCTCTACATGGAATAAAATCGAAATTTTTACTAAAAGACAAAGGTATTTTACAAATAAAATTTCCGGACATTAACTTCTAAAATACTATTGTAC